GTTTTTAGGCCGTCGTTCGGTAGAATTTCTTCTTGACGTTTCGCAAGCACGAGTGGCTTGCATCTTCAGAAGTGGTTTGCTTCTGCAACCACTTCTGAATGCGTTCAGTTCTGCAGTTCTTCCGCAGAACTGAACGGGTTCTGATGAGAACAGTGTAAGCGTTCAAGCAAACCACTTCTGAAGATGCAAGCCACTCGTGCTTGCGAAACGTCAAGAAGAAATTCTACAGAACGACGGCCTAAAAACACGAAAAACCCATTAGTTTCAGCTTTTTGTATGTAGAAATATTCGGCATAATACGGTCAGTATCGGGCCGATTTGGAAACTTTGAAATTTGTTGAAAAACGTACGATCTTCTGTAAAAAACGGACAGGGAAGGACGWAAATACGATTTCTYGATAAATTCAAAAACTCTTTAAAAGCCGATAAACTTGGCGTAAAAAACTGTTTCAGAGCCAAAGTTCATTTTGGTCGCGTTTCAACGCCAGCGGAGTTTAAATTTTCAGACTTAAAGCGCTAGTTGTTCCTGGAAAAAAGCTCTTTTGCTTCAAGTTTGGCGGCACACCAAGATTTTTTTCACCCCAAAATGTATTTTTAGCAGCAACTCAATGGTTTAAAAAAAATTGGCAGTAAATTTTTTTTCCCAGTTTTTGAAAATTTTCGGATTTTTTGAAAATCGCAAATGTGCGAATTTTTCACTTTAGAGTCAAATTTATACCAAAATTTCACTCTTCATTAGCATCATTTTCGTATATAGTTTCGGAGAAAATGGAATTTGAAGTCAGAGACTTAAACTGCCATCGACATTGTTTGCACACTTCTCTGCCTGTAACTCCGCAACTGTTAAGAATATTTCAAAACTAAAAAATGCCCAGGATTGACACGGATATTCGCTGGAGTTCGGATTTCTTGACAAAAATCGACATTGGCAACGATTTCGTAGATAATCAGCCCTAAATGTTCACAACCGTTCGACTCTTTTGCCCGTAACCGGGGGTAAAACAAATTCGAACTCAGAGTGTGCAACCTTTTGGAGAAAAAATCTTTGACAAATTAATATTAATCGAAAAAGTTCACATTTATGAACGCTCCAATGCGGAATAGAGGATTTTCCAAACAAAATATTCGCAGGCAAAAAATTCTCAGTGCATTTAAGGCCGAGTACCCGAAGACTATGATTTTTTGCCTCTCTAATCTCCACCCCTGATTTGAAAGCTGAATGCGCCCTTGAGTGCTTTGGCCATTTGTGAGGCCCATTCATGTTTTCCATTATCATATTAAGATTTTTTTCGGTCAGAATAATTGCTCCCGTCAAAACATTTAAGACACGATGGAAAATAAATGCGTCAGTTTAAGTGGGTTGGGCTGTTTCACACACCATTACTAACCATTTCCAATGCTTAAAATGTGAGAGTTGGCCAACAAATTTGAAAAGCCATTAATTTTCCACTGATTTGAACTGAAATCGTGTTATTTGATTTCAATCTTAATGATTTCTGATGTTTATTTATTCGGAAAATATTCGAGCAGCCAACAAAAGAACGGGGCCGACCCTTAATGGCACATTATGTCAATTAGTTTCCACTTTATCGGCGATTTGTTAAATAATTTATTGGGGAGGGGGGCTTTCCAACTGGAACGTTCCAGAAAGTATGTATTAACTTGCAGGCATTTCAAGCTTCTTTCTGCAATTAACTGCCCGTTTAAGCTGCAAATCAAATTAGAGACAAAGGGAGAGCAGCTACAGAGACGGAAATGGGAGCTCGTTTTAAAAAGCTGTTAAGTAATTGCGGGGAAATCCTTAATATGAGTGTCAACAGCGCCTAATTCCGTCCCCTAACACAGCAAACTTCTACTAGACAAACCAATTCTAGGACTCACTAGGTGTTTCAAAATTGGGTCAAACCTACTTTTGTAGGTTTCCATCCACCTTCAATTTCAATCTTTCAGGCAAGGAAACAATTCGCACCTTCCGACTTCACAGTTGAATTTTTTAGGTAAAAATGTCCAATATCTAAAACTCGTCTTAATTACGGTTCGTTTTTAGTAAAACGAGATGAAAGACTTAATTGAAACGGGCATTTTCGGATTTATTAAAGGTCGCGTTTCACGTCGCTTAAATGAAAATCTAGCTGGAGCGTCTTTATGGAAAATGAACTACAGTGAAGACACGTAGTAAACAAGTTATACTTTTGCAGCTTTGTCCATCGAGTTTACCTGAGCTGATAAAAATGCTTTTGTAAATTTTTTACATTAAATTAAATAAAGTGAATCTGCTTGCATAATAATGTGCGGAAAAAGTGTATTTTTAATTTAGATCTCCAGCTCATCTGGATAAGAAACACGCTCGAGTTACTGCAGTGCAGCAGACAAATAACTCACCTGAGCGAGTAACAATAGCCCGCGACTTTAGCGAATTTAATTTACATTATTTTGTTGGGAAAAAACCATCTCAGGCTCATTTTTTTCATCTGCCAGCAGCTAGATTTGCATCGTTTGTTTTTGCTAAATGAGCGAATGGTTTCGATTGCTTCTTATGGCAATCGGTTAAATAGTCAAGGCAATGGATGTCTGTCTGTTTCCGTAAATATCTCACAGTTTTCTGCAGCACGCAAATGCACTATTTATCTAATTATGGTCGTTCATTTCTAGTTATCGTACCTCAGCTATGTTCGAAGTTTTGGACTTGCAACGATAACGTTCCTTGGATTCCATTGTCGCTTTAATTATTTCAATTTATCTAAATGTGGCATTTCCTACATTTACGCAATGACATTCAATAGGAATTTACCGTTTTTTAATTTGTTTTGTGAAGTTTTTAAATGTTTAAATACGTAATTCGTTTAAAGCCAAGACAAGGTTCATAACAAACACGCAGGGATAAAACGTCCGCCTTGTTCCCATCCCAAAGTTGGTTTATGACTTTCCATAAGGGGTGGATCCAGCTTTAAAGTCAGGGGGGGGGGGTTATGTAGAAAAATACAGCCATACTAGCCGGATGGTGCTTAAGAGAACAGAGAATGAAAAGCATTATATACAGCTTAAGCTTACCTGATGCAAGGAAATGCTTCCTTCAAAAGCAC